ATAAGTCACGATGATGTGTGATTTGTTATCCTTACTAATCTATACTTCTAGGTTAATATTATAAAGAGGAGAGATTTGGATTTTTGTATGTTTTCGATTCACGTAAAAAGTACTGAGCTGATTTTTAAAATTCTATCACCGTTAATCTGTGAGTAACATAGGCTATATTTTATAATTTTACGCGGACGTAGTCGCGAATCACAGCTAGTATTTCATATATATAATAATTAACTTCAGTATACCGATAGTCATTCTCCAAATTTATTTTACCGTTTGATTTCATAGCAGTATTAAATGAGTAGATTTTACATGAAATGTTTTAGCTCTTTCTGCAGAAAAATATCGGATCAGATAATATTCATAACGTGGCAACACATTAACGAAATAATAGTATATCAAAAACGAATAAGCAAGAATTTAAAACATTGAAGTACACACCAATTTATCCCCTCATTTTTAAATTTAAAGCCGCATTCATGCCCTACTTTTCAATTTAATTACTCGACTCAAAAGCTCTTCTGTGACGGTATTGAATCACTTTGCGTATAACTTCAACTGGTTAACCTACACGGACTTAAATCGGTTAATATTTACCATACAAGACTGTTACCAAGCTACATATAAAATTGAAGGCTTCAGAGTCATTTTGTCTTCTCTTAAATAGAGTTAAATATCTTTAATTAAAGTAGGTATAAGAAATACGCACAAGGTATACGCAACAAAAAAAAAAAAGATAAACAGTGCAGAAAAGAGTACAGACCAAGAGTCTGTAGATGTTGATAAAAAGTTAATGATTAAATAAATAAAAAAATCATAACAATGTTTGATTCTTGTGGAATTCTGAAGACAAATTAATGTTTATTCACTCGCCTTTGATTTAGCAATATAGGTGATGAGAGGTCATAAAAATACAACAAAAACACTCCAGTAAGCATCCAAAAATCAAGCGTAAAAGTCGAAGAACTGATTGCTACTTCAGTAGTTTGTCGTGTTTGACTTAATAAGGTTTTCGCATGACTAATTCCGATTTTAAATATCCTGGATAGAATGACTGTTTGATTATCCTTAGGGTGTACCAGCCCGTGACTGGTGGATCAGTAATAGAAGAGTCTTCAAACATATAAACAAATTAAACTTGATAAATTCTATTGTAACTGTGTAACTCCAGACTCTTATAACGAATTATTTAAAGACTATCTGACGTCTTTTTTTCGGTGGCGACACCGACTAGTTTCGGACCGCCGATGGGTCCGTGGATTGTGGTGGAGGAGTTATAATAATGACTCAAAGTTCAAACTGTTTAACTCCAGACTCTTGATAGTTTTGAAGTATATTGTCATCTCTGTCATTTTATTAGAGAAATAGCCACAACAATATGATTCATGGTGTCGTCTAAAAAGGATAGATATATCCTGATTGAACCTTTTTAACGATTTCTTTAACTCTTTACAATGTTAATATCTTCTTTATTTTTATTTATTTATTTATTTGCTACTTACTATTTTGTGTCTCATTTTGGTATCTACGGTTATTATCGAGTATGTTTTGGTCCTTTTGAAGTCAACAGCAATTATTTGAAATTTCGCAGCTGCACTGTCTCCACATATTTCGGTAAACCAGACGATAAACACCAGAACTAAATTACTACATGCTTTTACGTATTCATAAGTATCTTTATCAAATGCGATGTCAACTCTTTCAATTTATTCCAAAAAGTATTAAAACAATTTTAAGAACGCGCGCAAACCTTGGTGTAAACTATCGCCCAACTGTTTAGTCGCGCTTTTAGCTTATATGGACTACTCGATTTTTAGTTTTGCAACTAAACAATTGAATTAGCTGCGAAACAATCGACAATCGCACAGCAGTTGTACGATAGTTTAGTCAAAGGTGTCCGCTCGATCGAAGGGTGTAAGTGACATAAGACTACGCTAGATTTCGTCCTTGAAAATGATGCTGTAAATAATTCTTTCTGCCTGCCTAATATCTCATAACAGTCGTCTTTTAATTCTAATAATTTTGTGTGGTTTTATTTTTATTTTGTGCGTTACTAATTTGTTCATGTGAGTATGATTTGTTTTCTTATTTTATGGATTTTTTTATACCCTTTTTAACCCTTGTACATAATATTAAACGAAATATGTATAGAAATTAGAATGTAAAGATATGTCTTACTAGATTTTAATATTCACTCTATGCTTCTGAGAATAGATTTCTCGTGAATCAATTTTGTTTAACCTGCCTTTTTAACGTCTAAGTTTATTTTGCATTTCATGATGGAAAGCAGGAAAATTTAGAAAACACCAGATACTTCTAAATTTACTATCAAAATTCTAACTAAATCTTTTTGCAATGTAACACATGTTTGCTTTTGTAACACACTTTAAGATTCCTCAATTTGACCAAAACTATTTGTTTACAGCGATTTACCTGATGAGGATGATAAGAAGACCCCTGTCCTACTTTTAGGAGTCAACAAGATATCAGATTCCCCTTCCTTTGTCAGAAGAAGATCGATAGATTCCCATACTTCGGGTTCCATTAGATTCTTTCGGCCGCCAAAATCAAAATACACAAGAGGACTTCATGGAGACGAAAGATTGGAGAAAATTAGGCAAGATCTCTTAGTTCACAAACATAAGCCTGATAGGTACATTCCAAGTACGACTCATGAGGTGTCAGTACAACCTTCATCCTGCCAAAGACCTTGTCTAAAATTAAGCTGCGTGGGAAATTGTAATTGTGACAGAAAAAAATCTTCGAACAGAGGATCATTCTCTTTTCATAGACCTGATAATCGTCAGTCATCACTTTGTCCATCAGAACCTTACGGCAAACTAGAGGAAAAGAAAGATTATTCAGAAAACGATATCGAATACAAATATACAGAATACATTCCAGATACAGAACCATCGAGTAGCAAACAGACATCGTACAACGTGACACCAAAATCTACAGAACGTAGGCATTTCTTGCTATCGAATTTAAATGAGAGATTTCGCAAAACGCTTAGCTTAGATTCACGTAAAATTGAAACTAATCGTGTCCCTTTAAGTCTGCCTCAGGAACAGCGACCAAAATCTCTAGTTAATACAAGTAATATATGTGTACATCAATTTAAATCTGGTGACCCTTTTATACTACCAACTTTTGATAAAACAAGTCAGCCAAAGAAAAAACGAAAATCATTTTTCTCGCTAGACACATTCTTTGATTCTAAAAAATCTGACACGTCATCCGTCGACGATTACTGTTCCTCTAAGTATAAACGTTTCGAGTTAGAGAGCGATGATTCGCCACTTTTTAGACGTGATATTTCCCAGCAGCAGCAAAGAGAAAAAACTCCTGATTTATTAAATTTACCAGTCATTATAGATTCGGTTCGAAAGAAGCAATCGGAAACGAGACGTCAATTGGATAAGTTAGAAAGCCATTTCTATAAAAGTATAAGCAAAACACAGACTGTTATAGACGCGGTACCGAAAGACGCCACAGACGTACAAGGCCCAAGCGGACATACCAATCATTTATTCGTATACGACGATGACGTAGAATACATTGAACCTATACGAAGTAATTTTACCAGTCAAAGTACCTTAATACTTGACAAGAACATTCCAGGTGAATTTACTTTAAAACCTGATTCAACATTGACTATTAATACTGAGGATACTGACATTAAACTACCAAGTTCTACTGTCTCGCCGAAATCTAATGAGGTGAGGAACTTTGAAAATGATTTAGACAGTATTGGTGCTTATGAAATAGAAGTAAAAGAGGCAGATCTACTAAAAGATAAAAACAAGAATCTGACTATAAAAGTAATGGACAAATCGGTTGATTCGATTGGCAGTTGCTCCCTTGACGTCGATGCTAGTACAGATTTTTCAGGTAAATCGAGATATCGAGCTTGTGTGTTGTCATCTGTATTTGTATAAATAATGTAGCATGTGTATGTGATTGTTGTTATTTCTTATTCTTTGAGAATTTTCTGCATTTTTTAATTTTTATTGTCTATAATTTAAGATGAATTTAATAGCTTCTTGATATAATTTTAACGTTGTTTTCATTTGATGTCTACCTGCATTTTCTTTAATTTTCATTCATTTAATATATTGTTTTTATTTCTTTGTAAAGCCTGTGTTTTCTTTACCTATTCCTGTCTAATAATAATTCAGCTTGCTATGAAATGTAATGAATTAGCGTTTGATTTGAACCGTTGATTTCATGCCTTTTAATGTTTTGTTCTTTGTTTGTCTACTTTTAAAATTCCACGACAGCTAGTAAGCTTCAATCTTATTTTTATTTGTTTTCCGTAACTTGAAGAGTTATTGGATACAAATTAAACCTGTAAATGAAAATTTATTTCACAATGTTCAAACTATATTACCTGTAAATAAAGTTTACGTAAGTCGAGTAGACACTCAATGCAAATAATGCAACTCAACAAACAAAAGAAATATTCACACATATGGGCAAATCGATTCATCGACCTCGATTCAGCCTACGCACTTCTATCTTGCGCGAGCTCGGTCATTGTCGGGCAGCTGTCTATCCGAGCACCAGCTTTAACGTAAAAAAACGTGCTAATTTACGGGCATTCTATAAAAATATTGACGAGCATACCAAATATACGATTTGTAAACATTACTGTGAAGAAACTGTGAATGAGTTAATAAAGATCATTGCGCACCGACCGTGGAACGGAACGCTTCAGAAAAACCGGCCGTTGAGAGGTTCTTCTTGTGACGTTTTGTAAGAAAATTAAAAAGTTTGACATTTGTGATTCATAAATCATAAATTCTGTGTAAAAAATGCTCGTAGTGGATAAAATAAATATTTAACTGTGTGCCTTCTCTCGTGTTTTAAAATATAAAACCGGTAAGTGTATTGCGTTGTCTAACAATTTATTTCTGTCTAATAGACTTTTTGTTTTGATAAAGGGTAGGCTAAAAATCTGTTTTATAATCGAATTTCTCTAATGCAAAATTTCTAATTTATATACCGTGAGTATTACAGATTAAAAAGGGAAATTTAAATTTCGTTATTTACGTTGCTTGCTGCCCATGACATTATGAACGGCCGTGAAACTTTAATCAGACTTGTAAGGAGAGTTTTCATGGTTATAAGTTTATCATTTAATAAATGGTAATATTTTCTGTATTAATACGCTATATTCATTAAGAACAATATGTTACATCTATAAGAGGACAGGTTACGATAGATTATGCGTTAAGTAAAAGTAAACACGCCAAAGACTTACGTCACTATATTCTGTCAAATAAATATAAAATACAATAATAACCGATAATAACAATGACATAAGGATGGATTTTCTATATTTATTCTAAACCAAAGGTTTATTATCTTCACCAAAGATGAACTGCACATTTTATGCAAAAAGTTCAACATGTTTCCGATGAATCTTTTTCTTATGTAAATTTATCATATTAGTTATCCAAATGATATAATATCACTTTACTTCACTTACAATTTTCACAAAACATGCTTACACTAATATAAATGTGACTGTTTGAATGCTTAGATGTTTATTTTTAAATATCTTCAAAATAACTTAACTGCACTTAATGAACTTGAATGATTTGGCACTCTTGTAGAACATAGTCTGGAAGAACACATAAGATTATTAATGTTTTTTTTTTAATTGGAGTGGAAGACCTCGCAGGCTAAAGCAAATGATAAAAAGAAATTGTCACTGCATATTATTCAGTTTTCTGTATATATGTTTATAATTGAATGCTTCACTTTGAAGTATAAGGAAATTAATGGAATAAAATACTTTGGTATATATTTTTTTCCTTCATAATGATTCCCCTTTTGATAAACCCGATATATTGATTTGTACTTTACGGAGCTTTAGCATTACATTGATAATATTTATTCATTCATAATAAATAGTATATTATTTATAACACGGCTAAAACTCACGTGAGAACTTTCGGTGTATGCACCAACCAGTTTCAAATCCGTAGGGGGTCCTTCAGGGTGAGTGGATGCCGGTTATAAATAATATAGTATAATGTCTCACGAAAGTTTTAATAATATAATAAATAGTTTTATTTTAGCTTGCAATTAACCTATATTTTATTTAAATTCCATGTTTTCTAGACAAATTGTAATAATACATGAGTTATTTTATATTGGGTAAGATACTGCCTAGTTTTTATTTCTTTTTAATCTCTATTTTTACTCTCATTTTTAAAAACAAACTGAAAAGTGGTTGGAAGCAGTTTTTGCATAATCTTTTCAAGCTTGATAAGATAAATTAATCTATTTTTTATGCTAATCAATGTCAGTTTTTGCTAAATGTGTTTAGTTATTGCTTAACCTGTACATAATATTGCAGTTTTTGTGTATACTGCAATTTGTATGTATAATGTGTGATTATTTTTTATGCTTTGAAATTACATGTAAGTTAACATTCCACTTTTTAACTTTATATTAATGTTTTGTTATATTGATATACCCGCTTATGTTTTAGCTACATTTTCAGTAGAATAGTGTAGTTTATGTATGTTTAATGTTCATAAGATACAAGTTGTTTACAATTGGGTTGTATTAGTTCCTGTTTCAGTACAGTGAATATGGTCCATGCAATTTTATATTTGTATAAACTATGACAGTATAGAGTTATGTCATTTTGTATTTATTTCTATACATAGTTGTGTATTAGTTCAACTGTCATTGCCTAGGCTCAGTCTAGAGGGGGCAGCTACCATTAATATGGTCTTATTTGAAGTAGTTTTTATATCTATTTTACATTCTGCTATCCTGTAGAGGGGAGATTGATATTGAAGTCTATTATTTGACAATTCTATTATCAATTTTGAATAGTATTGGCCGGTTGAAAGATTTTGTTTTCTTTTTAATAATATTTTTAAATGACATACACCATATACTACGAAACTTATATAAGAAAAACATTGGAATGTTCAATCACTTATATCACTATAAACAAGCCAAATATGGTTACTTTCTCCAACATCAAGTATTAAGTTATTTGTGTCAATTATTTCTTGTGCAAAAATTTAAATAAGTAATATTTATTAAGTCTATGTATGTATTTTCATACTTAATTTCTCTTAGTATACATTATAGGTCATGTCTTAAATTCACCACCATGTGTAGAGTTTATTAGGTTTCTGAAAACTTTATGAGATTGTATTATTAGACATTGTGATTACTTTTTTTATTTAAAAAAAAGAGGCTTAATACAATAAAATCCTTATGCTGACATAATATGATGATAAAAATTATATTCATTCCGATTAAATGGTTTCTTTTTTTGAAATTTCAGATACCACATCTGGAAGCTTGAATCTCCTGACGCCGTCGTCAACAAATAGCCGCATCAGAGACTTCACATCTCGTATACAGGAAAGGGCGGGCTCCACGCTGCAGCCGAGCTACCAGCCGACACCCACTCTCACACCCTCCAGGACACCAGACGACGTGACACCAACGCCCAAGAAAGACAATCTATTAAAACCACCACCCAAGCTCTATGTTGATTCCGGCAGCCACAGATCACGCGCACAACAAAAGAAACGTGAAGAGCTACCACAAAAGAAACCTAGTTATCTAAACCTAGCTTGCTCGGTCAACGGCTATACAAATCTAACAACATATGACTCCAAACTAAGACAAGACATCAACAAGAGCCGAGAAGCATCGCCAATAAGACCAATTACGCACACGTACCAATACAAGAGCGAAAACAATTCGTTACTTGTACCGGTTCCTATCAGCGCAAACAAACTGCTTGTACCTACCTTCATTCCTCATGATACTGAAGCTGATTTGACAAAGAAATCGCCTTCAAAGGCGCACAAAGATCCTTACATGTCGTCACCGTCCCATGCCTACATGGCCGCAGAGAATAAACAACTAAAAAACGACTTCCTAGGCTCCAGTATGACAACCACAACTACTAGGACATATGTATCTAACGAAAATAAAAATTTCGCCGCATCAATGCTACACAAAGACGAAGTTGATAATGCAAAAGATATCAGTTTTAAATCAAGTTATTCGGAATCTAATTTTAGACAATCAATTACAACGAATGGGAAGGACTCACGATTTAGTGCTGAATCTTATACAATATCTTCCAATGGTATGTCTAAAAGGGTTGAAATTACTAAAGAAAATGGTGAAAAACTAACAAGTCCTATGAAGAGTTTTATCCAACAACGTGTAGAAAGACTGTACGGGCCGGGAGCGTTAGCACAAGGATTCTTCAATCAGAAACGACATAAATTTACAAGTCAAAGTGACGGGGAGTGGTCGAAAGTGTTAACGGAGAAATCATTAAATTGTCCAGACAGATGTCTCGGTCCGAGGAAATCCTGTAGCAATATTGAGAATGAGGATATGTTTTCTAGTCCTAAAGAATCGGACTCGAGTGTTTTACCAGTTTTAAGACATTTACGACCTGAGTTCCGAGCACAACTTCCTATACTGTCTCCTAAGAAAAGCTTAAAATGTGACCTATCCCCTCAAAAGGATGAAAACATTCCAAAGCCGGATAAGACTGATATTGAAGTTGAAGATAAAATAAGTGATGTGTTGGTAACAAATGGTGTATCTGTGATTACTTTAGACGATGACAAGGAAGTGGCAAATGACTCAGTGAACGGCAGTGCAAGTGTGAATGGTGCTGACAAAGTTAACGGAGATGTTATTAAAGATGCCCATTATTTCTTAGATCTGGAAAAGAAGGAGACGGAGCGACTTATTGCACTTGCAATCACTGCTGAAAAGGAATTGGAGAATTTACAGGTATGTCTAAACTGTATTTATTTCCGCACAGGAGAAATCACTTGTACAACATTCTATTATTCACATTTTTTTTTTAACTTTTTATTTACTTACCATATATTATTAATGTTGTAGAATGACGAGAACATCAGCGAGGAGGTATTTGGGTTACTGCGAGCTGCGTCCGGCAAAGCCCGTCTATTGGCCACGCAGAAGATGCAACAATTTGAAGGTAAACTTTTAGAATATCATTTAATTGTAATTTACAGCTTATAGTAATACTAGTATACTACTTTCTAAAAGATAATTAATATTTAGCTTTTTAATGGTGTAAGAATTTTTGAAATCGGCCCAGTAGTTTTTGATTTATTTCAATATATGTAAAAATACAAATCTATAAAGAGGAATCTTTATAAAGTAAAGATAAGCTCTCTGAGTAAATGACAAATATATCCACCATCTTCATATATGACATAAAATTACAGGCCTCTGTTACAACAACATCAACGAGCGTCAGGACGAGCCTTTCCCCACGACGTTACAGGACCTGCAGGGCTTCTGGGACATGGTCCTTCTGCAGGTGCGCAACGTGGACGCACTCTACCAACACATCGCCAACGTTAAAGCCAATGGATGGAAAGAGGTAAATAAACCTTGTTACTTTTCTACAATCTTTTCAGATAGTAAAATGCTGTGTGTTTCTTTACCACCTTGTACTAAATTGTCAAAAACTAATCAAATATCTATATAAATAAATGTCTCACTCTTCCGCTTTCTCTCTCCCCCTCACTCACTCACTCTCTCCCACTCCCTCACACGCACTCTCTCTCCCTCTCTAACTCCTAAAGAACTGAAAGGATGTCAATGAAATGTGGCACAGATGTAGAAAATAGACTAAAAGATAACATAGGCTATTAAGTTTTTATTTGTGTATAGAAGCAATGGAATAAGTTATTATTATCATCACGAAAGTCTCTTACTCCTTCAACAAATGTTAACAGATCATTAGTAAAGTAAGTGCAAAAATCACACCTTTTTTGGTATCGGGGGAAATCTTCAAAAGATATGTATAGGGGAAGCCTTCTGGGGGCAGACGGGGATTGTGGGGTTAGATCCACTAAAATTCCTTCGATGGTCAGCCTCTAGTGCAATAGAAGGAGGTTCCGGGATCTCAGTGGATCTCACCGGAACAAAAAATCACACTTAGGCTCAGAGTCCTTTAATGGGGTATATTGAGCTGATTATGATTGTAAATTTCCTGGACTGCAAGACTATTTAAGATTTCTAAGAAAATACAATAAGTAATTAGTGAATCAACACAAAAACTGTATATTCCAGGTAGCATCGCCGGTATCGAAGCCAGCGAGCACGCAGCCCCGCGGGCGAGCGCGCGCTGCTCGCGGCAACAACGAGAAGTCTCAGAAAGCGAAGCTCGCGGCGGAGAAACGTGAGGCGGACCGCAAGGCGATGTTGGAACATAGGAGGTACGGTCCAAAAATTTGATCAAAAAAGTTATTTACCATCAAATTTAATAGTGCTCAAGCTCTGGTTTATTTACTAGCTGTTTCCATGCGCATGAAATTATAAATACTTTACTTAATTCTATTTTATTTCTTATTTATGGCTCTCCCTCAGAGGATTGGGCCAGTGTCAAGTGCTTGTGGTTTTATTCTAATTGGGCAGAGACTGGAAACAAAACCCTGCTTATGGAGATATTTTCTGCTTACGAAAATGTTGGTGGAGGTAGAAGCGGTCTAAAGATTTTAAAAAACTTTATTGCTTTCATTTGTCAAATTCTCAATTCCAAATGTCAAAATAACCGTTAGCATAATAACCTTGCTTCCTTAATGTTGGCAATTTGGTTTATGGTCTCTTTCCCACATGAAGGTTTTTTCTAATTAATTTACCCCGCTAAGTTTAATAACGTAAAAATATATCCTAAAGTATGTCCAAAGTGTACAGCTTAATATATGGAAATATTGTATTGCTTGCAGACGCATGGCTCGCGAGCGGCAGCAGGCCCGAGTTGACCCCGCCGCCGCGCAACCCGCACACACACACCCAGACGGCGCTGCAACACAGGTTACTAACACATTATAACACACAACTTCGACTAAACAATCGCACAACTGTTTAGTCGCGCTTGATTCCTTTGAGCTTATATGGAGGTACACTACCCGATGTTTTGTGTCGCAACTTAACGGTTGAAAGCAGTTGTGCGATAGTTTAGAGTTATGCGCACTCTAAAATAATTGATTTATTTAGATAACAAAGATCCATAAAGCGTTATTAAGTTTATAAATATTGTTTTATTGAGAAAATGAAGCCATCCTTAACTTATATTGGTAGCTGTCACTTCGCTATATCCACGATTAGCTCATTTACAACTATTTATGATATAAATTTGTTCTTCATTCTATTTTCTAAATTCTAATTTCCATACATCTCTATCAACTGTCATATCTGAATACTCCTCCACTCCTTTCTTAAGCATATCCTCTTTCACACAATCCATCCATACTTTATTCGGTCTTCCTCTTTGTAGCCATCCACATTCATTCTTAACACTTTCTGGTTTATGTCCCCATCGTCGCATAACATGTCCATACCACGCTAACCTTTTGCTTCTCAATTTCTCCACCACTGGCGCTACTTCCAAACTTCCTCTAATGTACACATTATTAACTTTTTCAATAAACTATATAATGTTCTTTATTTCAGGAGGTTGAAATATTTGTAGGCAAAAGCAACAAACCCGATAAAGTTGTGTCACAGACAGACAGCACAAGCAACTTGTCCGGGGAGTCGGTGCAACTCAGCTGATTTACTTGAATTTATTATATTGTAATGCTTTGATAAACCTCGGTCCCTTATCACACTCAGACTCGTTTAATGACCACTTAAACAGCACCTTAGTGTAGATTTTACTAAATCTACGCAAAGGTACTCGATTAGTGGTCCTTTAACAATTTTGAGTATGGTATTATGTTGCCTGGAATGAATTAATAACATTATTTTACATTATTTCTTTTATTAAATGACAAATCTTGTGAAGTAATTTATTTAATCTAGTTTTATATTTTTTTATTTATTTTTTAAACTCAATTTTATGATGTCAATTGTTTCGTATTTTAAAGCAAAAAGAAATGAAGCTGTGAATTTTTAAATTAAATTGTTTGTTCCAAGGCAATATAATAAAATATAAATCCATGATTGATAGATTAATATAATAATTTCGGCTCAATAATAAATGATAGTGATAATTCTTTTAAGATTTTTTGTATCTGTTGTCCTCAATGTGTATTTTAAGTAAATATTAACCGACATTAAATACTTGGCAAATATTGGAACTAACATTTAATATGTACAAATAATTTTGCCCAATAACTTAGCGTCTATCGTGTAAGTCTTTCGAATTGTAATTTATATGTAATTGGGAGAAATGTTATGTTAGTTTAGTGTTATGTAATATACAGGATACTCAAATACATTAAATTTATAATATTCTCCTCTATTTCTAATTTTATTTTATTATTTTTATGTTTAAATTACTTATGTCTGAATAAATTATTTTTAATCAAACGTTTCGTTTTTTTATTTTTTTTTATATGATTTATTAGCAATCATGTATGGTTATTATTTCCTGCAAATATAAAATTACTTAGTCCAATAAATATTCATAGAATATTACACCCATTATTTGTATTCTAAGTAAAAGAAAAAAAATCCTCATATAGGTACTATTTATAATGTCTAGCTTTAATTTAACCGCTTCTAAAATTGATATAAGTCATTAGTAAAAAAGCTATTTGTTCTAGGGAATTCTGTTGAATATACGTAAGTATAATATGACAAAATAAGGCTACTTTACACTTGTTACTTTTAATATATTAGTGATATTTTAAAGAGGTAATTAATTTTTAGGATACATCCACAGCCATAATTAATCAAAGCTCAAGTAATAACTTATTTGCATGTCTTTAATACCAATGTTAAATGACCATTTGAAATACTACTTGAGCAATAATTAGGATTTCTATATAAAAAGTTGATCCAGGCATGTTTGAATAATTCCTTATTATACTGCAAATGATCTTAAAAAAGGTAAAAAAAATCGCTTGGAATTTTACAATTCAAAGTAATTTTGTAATCAATATTTAACCGCTGCCAGAACGTCTTAAGACTGCAGATTTTTAATAAACAACGAGGGAAGTGGCTGTTTTATTTAATATTGAATTTTATTGGCCTTTGTTATTGTTGTGTTATAAAAATAATGCACATATTTATTATAAATGTTATGTGTATTGCGAAATTTATTTTTTCTTATGTGAATTGTTTGTTCTTGTTTATCCTACATGAAATGCAGTCTATTGGGCAGATATATAACTAAACTAGAATATTGGACCTTTTATGAGAGTTCTTTTACATACGTAAATTTTAATCTAGACAAAAATATGTAACGATTATTGTAATATCAATGAATAGGTTAGAATATTAGTCTAGACATGTATTCGATTATAAAACATTAAGAAGCTTTCCTATATTATAAACGAATTTATCAAGAGAATTAATGATATAGAAGAATTTCATATTCACATAATTTGGTATGGCAACTTTTACACTTCTTTTTTTCCTATATTCTCAGGCTCAGTGTTACCCTTGGTAACTTGGTGTAACCATAATTTTATAAATGAGTTTTTCTGCTCTTGTTACATATATGTCGTTTTTTATTTACTTATTCATAAAAATACTTTAGTTTTCTTCGAAAAAACCTTATATTATTGTGTTTGTGCTCTAAGTTGGTAATCTGGTTTAACACAATACTCACATTCTTTAGAAATGAAATTTTAAAAACTTTCTCTTTGTTTTGTTGTAAAAACACTTTTATTGTAAAAAAAAATACGTTATTTCTTTTTATTATCTTACAATAAAGTCGTCATTATTATGCTCTATTTTGTTTTATTTTATTGCCCAAAGTCCTACAATACCTTATAATAAAAATCTGGTTACAAAAATGGTGTGAAGTGAATGTAGTAAATTCGGAATAAGACAAATGAAAAGAAATCTAGACAAATAGTAGAAAATGAAATTAAAGATGGTAAGATTTTGTAGAAAGGAATTATATACTTATACTTTCCTCATGCCCATTTAGACATGGTCAGTAGCACTCAATTACTGGACTGGCAATCAACTGGCATATTGTAAACACTAAGCGACGCCAGAGATACCAAGGGATACCACGTAATTTATGACTGGCCGAATAATTGTCCAACTGTACTGGCCAAGTGTGAACGGGGCATAAATCCTAACCCTACATAAAGAAAAGGACAGGGAAATGACGTACTCAACTTATCATTTAAATGTTATAGATAATTTCATTTTTAAATAGCAGTTAATTTAATAAGATCCTGATTATTTATGATTTTCGTTATTAAATTTTTTAACTTTTACTTTCATAGACAATATTTTTCAGCGAAAAGGAACGCATCGGTAAAAATAACGCTGTGTTTATGGTTTGACAAGCAATGTCTCAATGTCCGATATTTTATCAAATCTTTTTTAGTTATTAAATTATTTGTAGTATAAAAATAAATAAGAACCATTAATTTATTACCAAAATATTATTTTAATGTTAGTGTTAATTTATTTCAGTAATTAATACAGAAACAATTTAAAAAGTACAAAAATTATGTGATTAGTTTCCGCGTGTTTCCTTCCCGCGCACATCGTGCAAGGTGGAAGTTGGTCATGGTCGTCCGCCAAACGGAAAGCCGCCATGATGGCTTTCTGCAAAGTACGCTCAATATGTAAAGTTTCGTTATTGTTTTTCATTAATTGTGACTGAGTGCGTGCAAAAATTAACCATGGGAACGAACTAGAGTGTGCAAAGTGCAGTTTACGGTCCTTAAGGACCTCCTAGAGAAGCTATAAAGTGATTTATTAGTGCATTTTTGTGTCGACGCTAGCGTGTTTTGTTCTGTCAACAAAATGTCGAAGCTCTCGTTTAGGGCGAGGGCCCTAGATGCGTCGAAACCAATGCCTATATATCTCGCCGAGGAGCTTCCGGATTTACCGGACTACTCGGCGATTAATCGTGCCGTGCCTCAAATGCCCTCTGGGATGGAAAAAGAGGAAGAAAGTGTAAGTATTTTGCGCATTTAGGTATTAAGTCATCCAACTACTGTGTGTCGGCCATTATGTTTGTGTTTCGTATTCTTACCGCCAGGGGCGTTATTTTTCGGATTCAACATATTTTCGGAAATAAATCATTAATAGATCAACGTACGGGTCTGATATTTAAATTGTGTGGATAAAATTAAATAAGGAACTTAAAAAATAGCTAATCCTACTTTGTACACGTGTATTTAAATTTATGTCAAAATTTCGCGCGCTATGTGCACATGGTCATTCATTGTACACCTAGGAGCTCCACAGTCGTACGCGATGCTGTTTTCTCGTGACTTACTGTATTGGGAACGTTTTATATATGAAATATGATGTGTATTTAACACACGAGTGTAAGAATAATAAACAAAAAGTTGTTTGGCAATGTCGTCATATGTTATTTGTTTACAAACAATGCGTGTGCCGGTACGCGATGAGTTACAAAATATACTCTCATCTTTATTTATGTTAAGCCTTTATCTACAACTCAATTCTAAGTATTACTAGGACATAATATTGCTGTGAACTTCTATACCTTTAATAATTTTTAAAACGATTCAATAATAATTATTAAAAAGCATTAGTAATATTCTTGTAAGTAAAGTAATGTAGGTATTATTAAAACGGTTCAAATAATTATCTGTAAAAATTCTGATAATTAAATAAATGGCTCAACTTAAGTATTAGACTATTATTAAATTTGGTATAAGTGATTATGTATAATTAATGTTTTTTCTAATGTTAACATGAATTAATGTAATTTTCAACTAGTTGATTATAAAAAAAGCTATTTGCTTTTACATTTATTTTAAACTAAATAATTTTTAAAACATTCTAGAGTGAATTAAATCGGGGCTCTGCAGTTTAGATTTTTCATCAAAATATTCTAGCAAGGAAAACAGCCATTAGTTCAAGGTTTAGTTTATTTTAATAGACCAGTGTCAATATTAACAATTTATTAAAAACAATTAGTTGTTTTACTAGTTGTTAAACTAAATTACATGTTAAATAAAACTAAAATGCAACCAGGTTTGATTACATAAAATTTTAATTTGCAATGGATTTGGCATAAGTCTGCAACAGTTTCTCAGTTGCTGTATACTTTTATGTGATGTGAAGACATAGGATATGTATCTTAAAATGTAGGTAATGTGGTAGAGATGAAAAGGGTGTTGCTGCCCAGCATTGCTGCGAATGGAAATCTATATAATCTGTCTTCATGTATAAATACAATTTTATTGATAACAGCAAGTGAAATAAGCTAAATCCACAATCTATTTATGGGCCTGAGTTGTGTTGTTGATTATATAGTCTTCTAGCTGTTGCTCACGGTTTCATCTGTGTGAAATTAAAAAAACATGGTCTATGTTACTTGCAGATAAATGACCTTTCTAACAATGAAAGAATTATTAAAATTGGCCTAGTAGTTTTTATATGAGTCGAATACAAACAAAAGTCCAAAAATACAAATCTTTCCTCCTTATATCGGTACTATAGGTTTTTGTTTCATAAAAATTTATCAATATCTTAAATGACTATATACTGAAAATAATCTTGAATACTTTGTTTTGTGCTGCTTGCAATGCTAGACATCAAAGTATGAGGGATTTTGAAGGTTTAGTATAGCCTTATCATTTGAGACAAACTTAAGTGATGTTTGAGTATATGGCTGGTAGACTCTGAACATCTAAATGCTGCCGAATGCTGTGTTTTATACTTAATTGAACTTAGAAGTGATGTAAAGGTGTATTTGAATGTAGAAACTTTGTTACTGCAATACAATTTTTAAATTGTTTTCCTCAAATTTTTAATAATCTATGGTACCCATAAACATATATTTTGTAAAGGTTTTAAATGTCAGTGGTTAAGTAAATCCTGGGGCGAATAAATATCTTAATTAATTAGGAATTTATAATTGGCCAGGTTTAATACTTTTTTCAAAGTGGTCTTATTTATGATAATATTTCTGTTATGAATATTATTTATTATACTTTGATGGCACAACACAACTTGTGTTCAGGTTAATTCGGTGATATGAAAATATCATTTTTGGTAGGTAGATGGAATTTTTAAAATAAAAAATGTATGTTTGAAGTAAACACTTAACAATTCATAACTTACTTTAAATTAACATCAGATCAGATAATCAAATATTTTCAATAATTTTCTTATTTTCTTTAATATGAACGTTAAATGTCACTTAAAACATTTTGTGTGGGTTTTATAGACGAAATCAGCGACAAAATTTTTTGCCGTTAATTCGAATATCAAGTTTGGCAACAAGCAGTTTTGACTTTCGTTAAGCTAAACTTTACTTTAATAATAAATACAAGAATAAGGGATGTTTGGAGGCGTGGAGGGAAGTCTGGCATACAAAACATGTCAATTTATATTCATTCGGAATTACCTGCCTTGCTCGCCGGATGCTAATGCCATTCAAACCTTACTAAGTTAATGCATCGTCGACTAGACCCGAGCAGGCGATTCCTAGAAATGTTGTATAACTTTGGGACTAGTGATGTCATAGCAAAAGAATTACTTTGCTTATTATGTTCGTGCAGAAATATATACGTGTACGAAATAGTGCAGATTAATTTATTTCTCTTGGGACGTCGCGTAAAAAACTAGTCGGAGAGGATTCCTACAGAATAGAATGTTTATGACTCTTTGGAGCGTTTCCTTCGAGATAGCTTGATATTTTGTCCGTTCTGTACCTATATCATATCTATGTATATTATTTATTGTAATATTAGCTTTTGCCTGCGATTCCGTCTGCGAGAATTAAAAAATAAGTTCAGTAAGTAGCCAATGTGTTCTTCCAGACTATGCTCTACTTTTATGCTAAATTTCATTGTTTATTGCAAAATTTTATTGAACCTGACAATATTTACATGATGCAAACACCAACGCGAAGATCCTTTTAAGAGATGGTCATTTCTGAGAACTAAACAACCGCTAATATGCTTAAGTGCTATTAAGCAGTTGATTGATTTAACCTGTTATACGATATTTTATGTACCATAGATAAATAAAAATAACAGTATCATTTTGTTCATCTATACTAATATTATAAAGAGGAAAGATTTGTATTTTTATTTTTGTATGTATTGAAATAACTCAAAAATTACTGAACCTATTTCAAAAATTCTTGCACCGTTAAAGCTATGTTATTGCCGAGTAACATAGGCAATGTTGTTATTTAATTTTTTTTAATTTTCACGCGGGTTAAGTCGCGACTAAACTTGTAAATTAGTATGACGGAATTTTATCTGGGGTTAAATGTGTTATTGGTTTTCCCCAAAACAATTAAGATTGTTCTTAAAAATCAAAAGTCATCGTGACGAATAAGCTAGACATTTGACTAAATTCGTATGAATTGCTTAATCGCGAAATATCTTCGAGATGTTCGACGTCGAACGTTCGATAGAATTCTCTAGCAGTATTTTACAAGTCCCCTATGACACATCAGTCGGAATTTCGTTGAGTGCTGGCATAGCACCTAACCTTGGTGCGAGAGTTGGTTCTGCAAAACATTACTTCTGCATTTTGAGTAAAACGTATTTCCGATGTCATTTGTGTCATGTCAATCTATCACTACAACTGATAATTGACCATTAAGAAATATTACAGTACCAACAGGTGTGATTTTATAGAAGATGGCATAAGAGCAAAGCCTATAGTAATCTGCAAAATGTTAAAAAGTAGCAGATGCATTGTCTAACTCTAAATGGACAGCGGACAGGAAATACAGAATATACGGGGGATGGGACAAATCCATTTCACTTCATTCTTTTCATATAAGGAAAGTGTAGGAAGAGAACTAGAATTTGGTCTCCACACAACGGCAATTAATGCTGATTTTTACTCTACCATTGTATCTACAATCGAAAGATACTAGGCCAATGCTATTATTTCGTCCTCATTTTTTTACACTTTTTCTATGCCCTTTATTGAGCTAAAAATACGATAAACAATGCGGCCTTATCGTAACAAAGTGTTCTGTCATCGGATGCCGTTAGGTTCATTGGTACACGTCACTCTCGATAGTGACGTGGCGGGGGCTAGGTCAATTTAGTATTATCACAGTGGATGCGTTAATGGCTATATGTAACGAGTTGCATTACGAATCTTACTTCCGTGATGTTAAGGTTTATTCTGTCTTGACAGATTCTATTGTAGGGGAAAATATTTGATAGTACCTTTATTACGCTTTTTGTTTTTTATTTTACTAAGAAAAATATGGCTGGTGTATATGTCTCCTACAGTATAATGAGTACCAAAGTAAATCATGATATTTCATGGTGTTTTTTTAGTCTTTTTTATTAAACTTATTTTGCATTGCGTCATCGTGGGATTTACGTACATCGTGAGTACAGGAGACGGCATGCGCCCCTAGTTTGCTCCCACCCTTAAAAATATTGAATTTTTAATTACATTGCTGGAGGAATGAATCTAATAATATAATATTATTAGTATAGATTAGGTTCTCGCATATTTATTAGGGTTAGTATATTATATAATTAAAAATTTTAGATTGTCAAAAACTTCTGGAAACAGCTAATAATATTTCATTGCCAGTTTTTACTTAATTAATCAACAAAATCCAATACGCTCTGTACTTCTCTTGTTTATAGGTATATGCTATGAGTCAGAATATGTCCCATCCTTGTTGGTTTTTCCAATGGCATTATCAAAAAACAAGGATGTTTGTAAATAAATTCTCTAACCTTATCCTCAGTCAATTTCATTAAATAAAAAGTGTAAAAGCAATTTAGTGATAGTAAACGTATAATATGCAATTTGTGTCCCTAAAATATTTTTAACTGCAATTCACAGATGCCCTGCAAACAAAGACATCTGATGCGATATAGACAAACGACGATAGACATTTTCGAATAATACCAAAATAATTTGAAAAAATGATAGTTGATAGTTTAAAGATTAGGTTTTATGGTTATTTAAATAATTGTCAAGTG